AAAAAAAAAAAAAAAAAAAAATTGCATGAATGCAGTAAAAATTTTATTACTCCAGTTCTGTTGAGTTCCTGAATTCAGGAGGACACCTGTATAGATGCCTAGGTTCTACTTCCAGAGGTTCTAGAATCGGGCAGTCTTTTTTTTTTTTTTGGAGACAAGAGTCTTGCTTTTTTGCCCTGGGGGGAGAGCTGTGGCATCATAGCTCATAAGGGATCCTCTTGGCTCAGCCTCCCAAGTACCTGGGGCTATAGATGCCTGCCACAATGCCTGACTAATTTTTCTAGTTTTATTAGAGACCAGGTCTTGCTCTTGCTCAGGCTGGTCTTAAACTCTGGGACCTCAAACAGTCCACCCACCTCACTCTCTCAGAGTGCTGGGATTATAGGTATAAGTCACCAGGCCTGGTTCAGACTCAGGAAGTTGTAAGTGAAGTTTGCGTTGCTTGCTTTTTCAGTAGGGTCCAGGTGATTCAATACACAGGCTATATCAGTGGAGTCCTGTTGTCCAACAGATGTGGTACCCAGTTCCAAAGGTTCTAGCAGGTAGGAGGTATTCAGTAACTGGAATCTGTTGTTATTACTGCTCTCAGTCACACATGTTCTAGAACATTGCTCTGTGCCAGCACCAAAATGCACCTGCCATCGTGTAGAAGGAAGGAAAATATGAGGGGCAAAAGGTACTTGTGAAGAGCACAGGTATTGCCTCGGCAGGCTCAATAGTTACAAGGTTTTAGGTGAGACTAATGTTTCAGAGAAGGACTGAGGGAATAAAAGGAGCACAGTATTGTTGGGTGTGGTGGCAGGCATGTGTAGACCCAGCTGCTCAAGAGACTGAGGCAGGAGGATCGCTTGAGCTCAGGAGTTTGAGGCTGCATTTGCCATGGTCACGCCTATAACTAGCCAGGGCACATCAGTCTGAGCAACGAAGAGACCCTGTCTCCCCTAAAATAAATAAGTAAATAAAAGAAGCAATCTCAACAGTCTAAAAAGTTGCTAGTTAATTATGGTATAGCCATTCTGTAGATATTATACAGGTATTAAAAACAACTACACAGAAAAATTTTAATGGAACATGACATGAAAAGGAAAATTGAATAAGATAATTTTATTTGTTTTAAAAATCACATAGGTGTTGGTAGAAATATTCATAAGAAACTTAATACGAGTTAATCATTGGGAAGTAGGGCTGGCACTACTTACAAGGAGTGGTAGGATGGGTCGGCACCTGTAGCTCAAGGAGTAGGGTGCTGGCCCCATATACCAGAGGTGGTAGGTTCAAACCTGGCCCCAGCCAAAAAC